CATACCGTTCGTGGGCGATGGTCCGCTTTAGCCTGTGTGTGGTGGCGAGTTTGACGTGATTGATCGCTGCCTCGTCGCCGCCTCCGACGATCATGTTTATCGTGCGAGTTGGGGAAGGTGGCTTTGGCGGTCCGTGGGACTGTTCTCGTCCGCGTGCAAAGTTTATTTTTCCTTTGTCACTGAGTAGCTCCCTTAGGTATCCCTGGTTTAGCATCCTGACCACTTCTTGCCGTAGGCCGATGCAATCTTCGGTTTTGTGCCCTCGTTCCTGATGGAACTCACACAGGGCGTTTGATTTCCTTGTGGCAGGGTCTGATTTCATCTTTTGCGGCCAGTGCACCTTGGTGCCTAGCTTCTCCAGTGCGTACACTAACTCTGAAGGAGACACACAAAAGTTATGGGCCGTTAATAAAGGGGGCGTACCTCTTTCGTTTCGTAGTGGGGCGACGTGTCGCTGTAGTGCGTCTGTGTGCCTTGGGGGCGGATGGGAGGATCTGGTGTACGGCTGATGTCGCTCTCTGTTGGAACGAGGGAGTGGTTCCCGTCGTCCTTCGTTCCGTCGATCTCTCCTCGTTTCCGAATGTATCGCCGTTAACCGTTGGGTCGGCCCGTTTAGGTCATCCTCGTCCGCTCGCACCTCTGCGCAATAAGCGTTATGGATTTCCTCCCATGTGGTAGGGGGATATTTCATGAGGCGGCTCAGCAGTTTCTTGGTCGCCCTTGAACCATTTCTGCTTAGCCCGTTCTGGAAAGCGGCGACTGCCATACCCTCTGATACATTTGGTAGGCTCATTCTTACCCTGTTAAACCTTGCCAGGAAGTCCCTGAGTCCCTCGCCTGCGTTTTGCCTGATGGCGAAGATGTCGTTTACCCTGGCTTCTGCTTTCTTCGCGCCTGCATGGGCTGTGACGAATTTATCCGCCATTTCCTCGAACGTTGATATCGCTTTAGCCGGTAGCTGAGAGTACCATGTTAAGGCCCCTCCTGTCAACGTCTCGCCAAACTTCTTCAGTAGTACTGAAGGTACCTGTTCTTTTGATAGGTCGTTGCCTTTCACGGCAGTGACGTAGTGGATCAGGTGGTCCTCGGGATCGGTGGTTCCGTCATAGACCCTCAAGTATGGAGGCATTTTGAAGGTTTTAGGGGTGGAGTGAGGAGCAGCTTCTTCGGTGTATGGTTGTTCGACGAATCTTCCTACGTCGCGTTTTGGTAGTAACTTGGGAGCACCGGGGATCTTGTCGACCCTCTCTTGATGTTCCTTCATCTGATCGCGGAGTGCCTCGTTTTCATTTTCTATTTCTTCCATCTTCTTTAAGATGGCTGTTAGCGTGCCATCGTTGGTTTGCGTCTCGATGGGTCTGTTATTTACCAGTGTAACTTCTGGTTCACCCACCGCAGCAATGGTACCTACCGTTGGTGTAAATACGACGTTACTTTGCGGTGGCTTTTCAATCAAGCCACTTAAAGCGCTTGTTAGCCATCTTTCCAATAGCTCTTTGACCGCGGAGGGTGCTCCCGTGGCTGTAGATATGGAAGCTCCCTTGCGTAAGATCGTCAGACCTTCGGATGGGGAAGGAGAGATCTCTGCACTTGGTGTGATGCTTGGGGTTTCATTCAGGATGCCATCGTCACTGGCCTCGTTGAGAGGACCTAGGAGTTTGGTTGTGACACCCATTATGGCTTTCGATCTGGCGTTGTTTTCGGCCATTTCCTGTTTTTGGGTGGTGTAGAGAATAGTGGTTGGTTGATCTCTAGGTGGATACTATGGTTTTGATTCTCGAAATCCCCACAGACGGCGCCAAATTGTTTGGCTTAAAAGTTGTTGATGCACTTTGTAAGCGATAAAACAATCAAAAAATAGAGGAAGGGTAAATCGTAATCAAATATAATAATCCTAGAGATGCAAAGATGATAATGTTTGTTATAGATCCAGTGTTAGAAGGATGACAATGTATGTTCATAAGATATATTAATCGGAAGTAGAGATATAGAGAGAGAAAGATAGAAAATGAGAGAGTTGTATTAGATCAGATAGCCCCCTCTTTACAATGTGGAGGTCTCCTTTATATAATAGAAGACCTTCCTCGAAAGAATCAAAAAGTTACAGAGATAGGTAACGTCTTTCTAGTGTAGATGCTGAGTTCTAAACGACGCCGCTTTCGTCCTCACGGCCGAGTCGTACCCGCTACGTTGGTCGGCGTACACTTATTGGGCGCGCCTGCTGGCGTAGAGATACTGAGGGTTAAATTTGACCCTATACATAACCCATCTATGAAATTATTTGCACAAGTTTAAATTCAAAACGATCGACCGTTTAATAAAATGGATAGCAAAAAAGCAACTCTCGATGCCCAAAATCATGTAAGGACAAAAATATATTCTTAAATATAATGTGGGATATTCTAACATAACCTCTCGCATATTCATGATTAGTTATCTGGGGCGTAAATGTCGTAGCATGCATGAGAGCCAACATTGAGTAGACCAAGAGTAGGAATAAGTGTAGCTTTGATACCATATTTATAAAAAGGCTCTTCACCTAACTCAATCTCAAAAGTTAGATCATGAGATAAAAATTATCCAAAATTATATAAAGAAAGTTTATTTCCTCAATCAATATGGGTCATTCCAAGGAAATTCAAGTTACTATCAAAAGCTTTTTTGTAACATATAATGTGACTGTAGATTTGGTATTTAATCATACAAAATGACACAAAATAGGGTACTGCAATAAAGGGTTTCTATTATCCTATATTAGAGTACAGTATTAATTATTTATGCTTAGTAATGTTCAGCGACACCCAGAGAGATCTCTTAATGTCTACAAATGGAAAAGTAATTACAACAACAAAACAAAACAAAACAAAAAGTGTCCAAGATTCCAATGTCCCTTGGCTCAATAAAAAGTGTAAGATTCTTTATCAAGACAGTGGAAATTGACCCAAGTGGCTGGACGACGTCTCTTTAGGTTTTATTTCAAATGAAGAAACTACTTAGTAACTTCAGACCTAACATTTCTGAAATTTGATATTATATGCAGTTCTCTTTCTATTTTGGTATACTTGGATCGATCTTGGCAGAAAGATCGGGAAAATATAGTATATTTTTCAAGAGAACTATATAATAATTCACCAACACATGGTACAGGTGCAATGTGCCAAAATATATAATTAAGGTGCACATGCAAAACCAGATACGTTATCATCTTTCATTCACAAGGAACAATACCCATTCTTGGCTATTAGATTACTCCAAAATCATATATATATATATATATATATATGAAATAAGATCACTTTTCTCTCTCTAGAATGACTTTTTCTCTCCGGTAACACTGAAAATGACGAGGAAAACGAAGAATGGAGGGGGAGGGGGAGGGCAACTATGTCTGGTAGGAAATTCAAGCACTCAATTGAGAAGGAATGGAGTTCCTCAGTCAGCTGATGCAAAGAAGACGAGGAACATTAATGCAATTCAAGGTATTGTGCCATTAGGGTTAAGCCAAGGAACGTCGAGGACGCCAATCGCACATGCAATGACTTCTACTGAGTCGGTGACGACTCCACTGATTCCGGCGATGATTTCACTGGATCAATCAGGCGGATCATGGGCGGATAGAGTAGAGGCGGAAATTATAGAGACAAGGGCGACAAGCCAGGTACAATTGAATCCTGAAACTAGTTCATGGAGTAAAATTGTGGGCACAACACCGAACGATGAGGGTTTAAACCTAAATTATGAGGAATTGGCAGGAGAAAATGTTAAAATTACAATGGATGACATCAAGGAAGAAATTACCTACTGGAAAACAGCAGTGATATGTTACATTTTGGGATCTAATCCCCCACTGAATGTAACTGATGGATATTTTAGGAGAATATGGGGAGGTTTAGGGATTGATAAAATTGCACAAGTTAATAGAGGAGTTTTCCTGATAAGATTTCACACAATTGACAGTAGAATCAAAGTTATTGAGGATGGAGACCAGATGTACGACAAAAAGACTGCAGTAGTAAAGCCATGGGAACCAGATGTGGATGTAAGCAAGGAAAAGGTGGATAGAATTTCAGTGTGGATAAGGCTTAAAGGGCTGGATATCAAGTACTGGGGGAAGAATGCCCTAACTAAGATATCAGGGATGGTGGGAAAACCATTAAAAGCCGACAGAGCAACAACTAATAAGGAGAGATTAGCATTTGCCAGGGTGCTAGTTGAAGTGTCAATAAATCAGCAGTACCCTAAGCAAGTAATGTTCGAGAATAAAGTTTGGAAAATAATAAAACAAGAGGTGTATTATGAATGGAAGCCTACGCTGTGTTCAAATTGCAAGAATTTTGGACATGATCTGCAAGACTGCAGGAAACTGCATAAGGAAGAAGCAGAAACTAGAAGGAAGCAAATTGAGCAGGGGAAGCAAATTGAGCAGGGGAAGCAAACAACAGAAGATCCACCTAAGAATAAGGTGCACAAAAAGGGAGGGAACAAAGCCAGTGACAAAGGGATAGAGACACAACAGAATGATCCTAAAACTATACCAACAAGAAATACATTTGAGGTGCTTGACAAAGGAGGGAGTGTAGAGGAATTAAGGCAAAGAAAACCTAGTACTTCCTGCCCTGAGGGAGAACTAGGGGTGATGGGTCCAGGACGTGGGAGGGGTGGGGGCAAACCCCTGCCTAATGGATAAGCTAGGATTTTGGAATGTCAGGGGACTAAACAGGCTAGATAAATAGAGAGATATACATCTGTTTATGCATAATAGTGGTGCTAGCTTGTTTGGTCTCCTGGAAATAAAGATTAAGAGAACAAAAGCTCACATAGCTTCTCTTAATCTTTGTGGTGGATGGTCATTTACAACAAATTTGGCACAACACCCTAAAGGAAGAATTTGGTTATTATGGAAGCCAATGATCTTCGAGTTGGATATACTAAGAGCTACTGATCAGTTAATACACAGTGCAGTGAGACATAAAGGTACTTAGATGACATTCAATGTAACCATGGTATACGCGTACAATGACATAGCGCTCAGGAGGAACTTGTGGAAGGAGTTAGTAGACATATATAATCATAATAGAGGGTCATCGGCTGTGATGGGAGATTTCAATAACGTGTTGAGCAAAAAGGAAAGAATAGGAAGCATTGTGAGTGGCTGAAACAAGGGACTTTAGGCAATGCGTGGATACTTGTAGGCTTCAAGAACTAAAATCAACTGGTGTCTTCTATACGTGGAATAATAAATAGAGTGTCAGAGTACTGAGCAAAATTGACAGAGTTTTGGTTAATTTTGAGTGGCTATCACAGCTACCAGCCTCAACAGTACACTATATGACTGAGGGACTGCTTGATCACTGTCCAGCCATCATCAACTGGGAGACTGGGAAACAGAAGATTAATAGACCTTTTAAATACTTCAATATGTGGAGCATGGATCCAGATTTTAAGGTAAAAGTGGCCAATAGCTTGAATGTTGGAATTACAGGGACTAAAATGTACCAAATAGTGGGGAAAATGAACAGATTGAAAAGGATACTAAAGCAACTGAACAGAACAAAAATCAGTGATATAGAACTGAAAGCTGAACAAGCCAAGGTCGAACTTGAGGAGTGCCAAAAGCAGCTGCAACAAAAACCCACAAGTACTGAACTTATTGATAGGGAGCAGGAATTGGCAAGCAACTATCGAAGATTTAAAGAAGCAAGTGACCAGTTTCTTAGACAGAAAAGTAAAATACAATGGTTGAAACAAGGGGACCAAAATAACAAATACTTTCACATCTACATGAAGGCAAGAAGAAATGCTAATAGAATCCTCTCAATCAAGGACTCGATGGGTAATATGGTAACTAATATGGATGGGATAGCAGATGCTTTTGTGGAATTCTACTCTACATTACTGGGGTCTACTATAGATAGCAGAGCTCATGTATGCAGCAGCCTGGTGATGAAAGGCCAAGTGGTAACAGAGGAGCAAAGGCAGTTAATAACAGAAGATTTAATAGAAAAGGAAGTCAAAGAAGCACTATGGCAAATTGATGGAGAAAGAGCTCCTGGCCCTGATGGATATGGGAGTAAATTCTTCAAAGTTAGCTGGGACATAACTGGTAAAGATCTTAAAGAGGCAGTGCTAGAGTTCTTTACATCAGGGAAGATGCTGAAGACAATCAATAACACAGTAATAACAGTGATTCCTAACAGTAGTCATGCTGAGACAGTCGAGGATTATAGACCCATTGCTTGCTGCAACACAGTCTACAAAGTCAAATCTAAAATGTTATGCAATAGGTTAAAGCTCATATTGCCAGACATTATTTCACAGAATCAGAGTGCATTAGTAGCAGGGAGAACAATTATGCAGAATATATTAATTTGCCAAGACCTAGTGAGACTTTATAACAGGAAAGCTGCAACAAAGAGCTTTCTGATTAAAATAGACCTTAAGAAGGCCTATGATTCAATAGAGTGGGAGTTTGTCGAAGAAATGTTACATGCACTCAATTTTCCTATGAAGTTCATAAGGTGGATCATGGAATGCATCTCAACTCCTCAGTATACAGTGGCTATAAATGGAGGGATTTATGGGAACATTAAAGGAAAGAGAGGTATAAGGCAAGGAGACCCCATAGCTCCTTTATTGTTTGTAATATGTATGGAATACTTTTCAAGGATGATGAGGCTAGTGGCACAACAGGAGGGATTCAGCTTTCATACTAAATGTAGAAGTCTGCAGATTAATCACTGTGTTTTGCAGATGATGTACTCCTATTTTGCAAAGAGGAGTTCCAATCTGTGATGCTAATGTTGAAAGGGCTCCAGACATTTTCTAATGCATCAGGATTAACCACAAATGTAGGGAAGCCAAATATATTTGCTGTAAACATGAAGGCACGGGAGATAGAAGACCTATGTGAAATAACAGGGTATAGTAAAGGCAAGCTCCCATTCAAATACCTAGGGGTTCCAATATCATCTAAGAAGCTATCCAAAACGGATTGTCAAATACTGGTGGATAAGCTGGCCACCAGAATAAGTAGTTGGGGTTCAAGAAACTTATCATATGCAGGTCGAGTGCAAATGATAAATGCAGTCTTGATGCATATTCATACATACTGGGCTTCGATATTCATTCTTCCCAACGCAGTTCTTAAAAGTATCACAGCAATGTGTCGAAACAACTTATGGGATGGTAAGGTGGAAACAAATAGAGTACCCCTAGTAGTTTGGGACCTTGTGTGTCGACCAAAACAAGAAGAAGGAATAGGTATAAAGGATTGTGCAGCATGGAATGAGGCAGCTATTGGGAAATATGTTTGGGATATAACTCATAAGACTGACTCACTATGGGTTAAATGGATTAATCACATCTACCTAAAAAATGTAGATTGGTGGCAATACAATGTAGCAGTGGATAGTAGCTGGTACTGGAAGAAAATTTGTCATGTTAGGGATAAACGAGCAGGAGGCTATGTTCATGGGGGATGGCAGTCAGCTACCGGGAAGTATACAATTCAAAAAGGATATGCATGGTTGAAGGGAACTCTGGATAATTGCCAATGGGGAAGATGGGTCTGGAGCAAACAAACATTCCAAAACATAGCTCTATATGTTGGTTGACTATGCAGAAGAAGCTACTTACAAAGGACAGACTAGTGCGCAGAGGTTTTAGTACAGATGGCATGTGTGTTCTATGTGGTAATGCATTAGAGACTGTTGAACATTTGTTTTATGACAGCCAATTCTCAAGAAGATGCATAACTACAATATTACAGTGGCTAAAAGTCAGAATTACAAACGTTGAAGGACAGCTCCTATGGAGAAGAGTAGCAAGGAAAATGGGAGGCAAGCTAAGTAGAGAATTTGCTTTTGCAGCCTTGGCAGCGACTACCTATCATGTGTGGAAAGAGAGGAATGAAGCCTTATGGAAGAGTTCAGTCCCTAGACCACAAAGAGTATGTGAGCAAATCAAAGAAGAATGCAAACTTCGAATAGTGGAAATACTCAACAAGCGGAAAAAGGGCAAGGATAGAAGATGGCTAGAGGATATATATAGATAGACAGAAAGGGGGTAGGAATATACATGTACAGATCTTTATATAGGTAGAAGTTAGAATGAGCTACTTCATTGTTTTCCTTTCATTGTATTCCCTTTGTTGTTCTCTTCGTTGTACTTGTTTTGGAGATGAATAAACTTTTTTCATATATATATATATATATATATGAAATGTCATAATCTTTTGAAATAGAATTTAACTTATGCACACTGATAGATCAATATGTTTTAACCTATTACAGTAGGTAAGCTACCTTATTTTTCAAATTACTTTTCTCAATTTTTATGAATAGTTACTTGTAATTATCTTTTCTGTGACCTAATAGTGTAAGAAAAATTCTTTGCACTATTAACGTGTAGAATTAAAATGCTTTTGTAATATGGTTCAACAGAAACATCTGTTGTTAACCGAAGACCCGCCCTTGAAATGTGCGGTTGGTTTACCTATGCATGGCTTCCCCAACGCCAATAGTCGCATGAGTTCTCCTAGGCCATAACCCATGCGTTGAAAGAAACCGCATGATGCGTTCCGGAGTTGCCCAACCAAAGTCTAGCTCAAATTCTGCCTAAAAGTCTCTCTGTAAAAAATAATACCTTTTAATATGCAGGATATTTAAGAGGTTGGTTGGTCAATCCATTTTTGCCGTTGGAGAGGCACTTAGCAGCCCCAAATATGAGCACCATGGCTTTTTCTCTTTCGATAGAAAAAGCAAGAAATTACTGGGAGTTGAAGAGTAAGAAAAGGTCTTCCCCTTAGACCTTTAGACCTGACCAAGAGAAGTAAGACCGGTAGCCAATAACTTAAAAAGAAAGGTTTTAAGAAGTCATCTCCTGATTCGGTGATTTATTGAGCTAAGGCAGCTCTGCATTTAGTGTGTTAGACTCATACTTCATCACCGTCTGGTCCTTTCGAACCTTAATCTTAAGAAATTCCTGAACAAGAAAGCGGTATGTATGGTTGGCTTTCGCGCGATGTCCTTGTCACTGTGAATAACTGGTACTTTCCTAGAGTTGATCAAGGTAGCTTGAACTTTCAAACCTGGTCGTCGGTGTATAAATATGGTGTTAATCGAAGACTAGACACTAATCTATTAAAGAACGACGAAATACCGCGCACAAATTCACTAACGTTGCCTGTTAATATAACTTTAACGTATCATTATATTTCAGCAAATGATGACAAAATGCCAATAGTTTAGTTGTTGATCGTGACTATAAACATCAAAATATTAGCTTATAGTGTCCAAGTTCACCAGAGACATACACTGATATTTATCCTGATTTCACGTCAAAAAATCTGATCTCAGCCGATTAACCTAGTGTATGCGACATGAATTGAGAAGCAGAATTTCTCGTATAGTTAAAACCAAATTTAGACGTGGATTTTGGCAAAAGAAAGTTGGGTTTTGGATGATCACGTGCTGAAGAGGTATAGTAAATGAATGAAAGAACAAGACAAATAGTCAAGTCATGACTCATCTAAATATTGGAAAATCATCGTGAGATTCAAGAGGGCTTCTAAAGGATGTATAAGTTGGAGTTGTCGATCTATATTTCAACCAAGCAAGACTTCTGAAAGTCCTTATGGCTACTAAAGCAAATAGAAAGCGGGAAAGGAAATCTAATAATTGGCACTGTTTTCTTTTCACCAAAAAGCTCCTTTGTGTTATAAAACAATTAAAAAAAAAAGAAGAATATTGCAGAGAAAAGTAGGGAGAGAGAATTCTTATTGATTTGGGATGAATTACAATAAAATAAAACCCTCTATTTATAGAGAGAGGGTGACTTAGCCACCAAGCAATAAACCCTAGAATCTCTCTAAATATAGACATTCACCATAAATAAAATTCTATTTATAACACTCCCCCTTGAATGTCTATTCAACAGATAATGTGCCTCGTTAAAACCTTAACTAAAATAAAACCCAATGGGAAAAAAATTCTAGAAAAGGAAAAAGAGTACACATGTTTAGAAATGCGTCTATTGGTTGCCTCGTTAAAAACCTTGCAAGGAAAACACAGTAGGACAAAACCTTGTAAGGGAAAAAGAGTACAACGCGTATTAGCTCCCCCTCATGAGAGCATCACTTCACATCCTTAAGCATTTGCATTCCAATCTTGTGCACCATCTTCAAAAGATCTTTGGTAGATATTTGATAAACAAACCAGCCATATTAACTTCAACGAATTTGTTTCACCTTGAAATCATCATCCCTGATAGATGTATTTTCTTCATATGATCTTGTTGGAATCATCATTTCAATATCTTCACATAGAGGTGAAAACTCTTGCTATCATATTATCATGCCTATAGTTATAGCAAGATACATATGTGCACAAATTGCATTTAGGAGGTGGTACTTCAGGACCAAGAATTATATATGCTTTAAGCAATTTAAATCCTTCAGGGATTGTTACTTTCTTTAGGTCAGCAAATGCGTCTGGCATGCTTTGCAATAAATTTCACGTGAATTATCCTTTTATGAACTTCAAGTTCATATTATTTTATTCGGGGATCTAGATGTATAAATGATAATTCATTCCACGTAACTTTTTCTCAGCTGTTTATCATGTCTCCCCCTCATGTTAGAAAAACTAACTTGTTATCTCAACTTTGAGAATCCACCTTTGTGCGTTATGGTGTTAATCAAAATATACACCGCACATCAATAATAATAAGATGGAATTATTCGGTTCCTAACCCTGAACCACTTGTGAGGAGAGAAAATAATATACTTTTCGTATATAACGTATATCAAACTGATATAGATAACTTTGTTCTCATAAGCAATTGTTTAGCTATTAAGTAGAGGCACTTAATAAATCATTTTGCTAAACCAACTGTGATGTAAACCAACTTATCAAGATGAACTTCTTGAATAGAAAATCTGGAAATTATGCTCGAAATTAAACTATTGAGCAAGTTACCTCGCAAAACACCATGTTGCGGGTTATTAATAATCGCACATGTAACCATCTCATAGATGCATCTTATGTGGTATACATGGCAGGTGAATGGGCCCATATTCACCTTTGATATTTCCAGCATTCATGGGGTTCAATCCCAATTTTAGTTGGTATATTAATTAATGAGAACATGCAACATAAGAGAATTCATAAAGAACTTTCTAGTTCTTTAATATTTACCCATGTGAATTCTCTTTTATTTTTGCACATCATACTTAAATTGATATGGGTAAACCAACTATGCCAACTGAATAAATTATCAATATTGATAAACTTCAGGTTTACACCATGATGTGTGCAATTATGAATAAACTCCAAGTTTATTATGATATGGGTTTTTATATCAATAAATTTCTACTTTATTGTGGCATTCTTTTGTTTGTGTAGTACAAACTAGAGAATAAAACGGGTAGCTTTTTACATACATATTACCCAGCTACAAGTTGTAGTAATAGAAGATATTAAATCTTTCCTTGATTTTTAGTCTCAATATAATCAACCGCTTTCGCATATACTTTGGAAACTAAATAAGTTTCTTTGAGACTTACTACAACACAATACCTTATTGGTAATCAATTGTGTTTCTCCAAAATAGTAATAATTGGCTCTTCTTGAGCTCTCAATTAATTTTGTACTACCACATATTCATCAACATCAATATGGTGAATATCTCTTTTAAAGAGAAAGTTATACCATTATGGTTATGGTCAAAATTATACGCAAGTTTTGTTTCTTGCATTATCGTTGTCTTTTAATAATCACAATGCCAAAATATTTTGGCGTACAATAGGTACGTGACCAATGACCATTCATGCCATAATAATGACGTTATTTTCTTATATCATCTCAAACCTCCTTTTAGAGGTGAGTGCGGTATATTCACTACCACTAGCACGTTCATATTTTTTGAAGAATGAATATGTATTCATAAATCAGATGTTGTCACATTCACATCATGAATTGACCATAATCATCTATATGTGCTTTATAAAAAATCTCATGTCAAATCGATGACAAATATTTTCACAAAGTGGGGGATTATTTTGAGAATCCTTATTATTCTCATTATCACAATGATGACGATTATAATTTCGTCTATTGCCACCTCCACATCCATTGATACATTCACGGTAATAATTTTGTCTTCTTTCAGACTTATCACATATTGCTATCACATTCTCTTAAGGGAATGAGAATGCAGCAAATTCAATGGGACGGGTTTCCGCTTTTTGTGCCCATAATCAAACATGAATTTGATCATGGCAAGACATAGAAATTTTTACCCTTTAGGTGGTTATAATTTCTTACAAACTCCACTAGAGTTATAATCAAACTTTGTTGTCTTTGCTTGTATATAAAATCAAATTATAGAATTTCAAGAATTTAAAAGAGAAAAATAAAGTAAAATACTTACCTGAAATCCAGAATTTAATCATAAAGGAAGTTCATGGAATAATTGACAATCATTATGCTCAATCCCAAAGCTTCTACTCAATTGGTTAGAGTCTCGTGCTGATAACGTGTTATAAAACAATAAAAGAAGAAGAAGAATATTGCAGAGAAAAGTAGGGAGAGAGAATTCTTATTGATTTGGGATGAATTACAATAGAATAGAACCCTCTATTTATAGGGAGAGGGTGACTTAGCCACCAAGCAATGAACCCTAGAATCTCTCTAAATATAGACATTCACCATAAATAAAATTCTATTTATAACACTTTGGAATATAACTCCAAAAGATCAAGAGATGCATGACGTTGAAACGTAAAAAGGGCGGGGGAAGGGGGGGGGGGGGTTGATTGTTCAAAAACCATTAAGATTATACAAAAGTTCCGTATAAAAAACCAATCACATGCGAAAAGTATTCGTTACTAACTTGAAAATCGCCTTATCACTCTCAATACCCCTAACATTATTTGGTATTCCACTAGTTAGTTATCCGATCTTCCTCATCCCAAGAAGAGGTGAACTCAGAGTTCATGTATAACATTGTACCCATAATTATACTTAATACCTTCATGGTGAGTGAGTATAATGA